AGCAACCTCAAACTCTTGGGTTTAAGCAATTCTCTTGCCTCAGCCTCCCAAGTAGCTGGGACTACAGGCGCCCACCACAGTGCCTGGCTATTTGTTGTTGTTGTTGTTGTTTTTACAGTTGTCATTGTTGTGTAGCTGACCAGGACCGAGTTCAAACTCACCAGCCTCAGTGTATGTGGCTGGCACCATAACCACTGTGCTATGGACGGCAAGCCTCAAGGCTGTTTTTTGTAGAGTAGTATAAAACAACTTTTGGCACCATTTAAAAAAAATGTTTAGAGGGCGGTGCCTGTGCCTCAGTGAGTAGGGCGCCAGCCCTATATACCGAGGCTGGCAGGTTCGAACCTAGCCCCAGCCAAACTGCAACAAAAAATAGCCAGGCATTGTGGTGGGCACCTATAGTCCCAGCTACTCAGGAGGCTGAGGCAAGAGAATCACCTAAGCCCAAAAGCTGGAGGTTGCTGTGCACTCTGATGCCACAGCACTCTACTGAGGGTGATGGAGTGAGATTCTGTCTCTAAAAAAAAAAAAATACAAGTTTAGAAATTTGCAACTTGGTGAATTTATATAAATGTACTTGGTAAATTAATTTGGAAATTTCTCATGTTCATTTATAAAAATGAATTGGTTGACCAGGCATGGTGACTCATCATGTAATCTCAGCACTTTGGGAGGCTGAGGCAGGAAGATCACTTGAGGCCAGGAGTTTGAGACTAGCTTTGGCAACATAGTGAGACCTCAATCTTTACAGAAAATAAGAAAAATTAGCCAAGTGTGGTATGCACACCTATAGTTCTAGCTATTTGGAAGGCTGAAGTGAAAGGATCACTCGAGCCCAGGAATTTGAGGCTACAGTGAGCTGTCATCATGCCACTGAGTACTAGCCAGGGCAAAAGAGTGAGATGCTGTCTCAAACAAAATAATGAACAAGGAAACAAAAAAAACGGATTGGTTTAGAAGTGATAATGGACATAGGAAAGTCTGTGAAATGAATATGTGATCACATAATGAATATGGAGAAGGAGAGAAGGAAGAACACTTATAAAGGACTTGATAACCCATTGTAGCTTGAGTGCTATAGTATAGATTAGCACTTCTAGATTTACTATTTTGGGTAAGCCTGGAGTATCTCTATGAAATAAGAGATTTAGGAACAGGATAATATGAACCATGGCTAACTTTCTGTTCCTCCAAAGGGAAACATACTAGATTTCCTGATTGGATTTGGAGAAAGAGTCATTGATCTAGCCTTTATTTATTTATTTATTTTATTTTTATTTATTTATTTGAGACAGAGCCTTAAGCTATCCCCCTGAGTAGAGTGCTGTGGCATCACAGCTCACAGCAACCTCCAACTCCTGGGCTCAAGCAAGTCTCCTGTCTCAGCCTCCCAAGTAGCTAGGACCACAGGT